TTTGAATCTTTGACTCTTTTGGTGACTTCAAGAGTCACGGCCCCTTGAATCCCCCCACCTTATACATTTTCTTCCACAGAAAATCACAAATGCAGTTAAATACTGATTTTCATATGCACTATTTGAATGCCAGTGAAGAAAGGTACTTATACAGTCTTATGAATCCAAATACCTGATTTCATCTCTCAAGAAAGCACTTATTTGAGGACGTTCGAGTGTGTGTGAGTGTGGTATAACTTGAGCTTTTACTCTGTCTCGTTTCTTTAAACTGTTAATTTTAAGCATTGTTTTTACACGGTTGTTGCAACAAATCAAACACTTGTTCAAAAATAAAATCTATTTTTAACAGATCATTGTGTAAGTGGCTGTAAAGCAGTAGTGGAGTGCAGAGAAGGACCTCATAAATCGCGTGTTGTCTTTTTAACGTCTTTCTCTGCGAGTCAAGATCAGTGGCAGTGGTAATTCACGCATGTTTTTATATAATTAGCAATACCTTGTGCCTTTTCATACATTCAATACATTTTGGCTCCTTTGTACTCCCCAGTTAGTGTGAGAGAGTGTGTTAGATGCTTTAGCGCATTGATTCATCCAGGACAAACGTGTGTTATTGATCTGCTGCTGGGATAGAGATTAGTAAGCAGCATATCTACCCATGACCACTGTGTGTGTGTGTGTATGTGTGTTGTTGAGGTGTGTAATAGTAATGACATTATCACTCCACACCTGTTTTATCAGGCTCCCAAAATGCACTGTGATCCCTAACTAGAACCATGACTTAAAAATACAGTGGCCACAAGAAGTGTTTGAACACTGAAAACAACAGTTTTAAAATGTCTGAATGTTATTGTATTAGAGAATGAAATATCAAAGCTGGTGGCATCTGCAGAAAAATGATGGTAGAGATTTTCACAGAACTAACTTCACTTTCCATGGCAGTTTTTGAAAATATGGCTGACAGTTTCATGTTAATTTGGAAATTATGTGATTAATGATTGATGAATAATTATTAACGTATAATAATTGTTGATTAATGTTAGTTATTTTTAATAGTTATCTAAAAATGATTGCAAATTAATGCACAAATATTTTCAGTTTTAAACTGATTTAAAGCATTTTGGGGCTTTTTCTTATGCTCACCAAGGCGTTTTATTTGATTAGAAATACAGTAAAAATAGTAATATTGTGAATTATTATTATTATAACGAATTAAAGTAATTTGTAAATATATGTTAAAATATGCATATTAAAAAATATTTTAATATGTTAATATATTTAATATAATCAGTGATTTCTTTTTAAATATATTTTAAAATGTAATTTATTTCCGCAATGGCAAAGCTTAATTTCCAGCAGCCATTACTCCAGTCTTCAGTGTCACATGATCCTTCAGAAATCAGTGACATATGCTGATTGGTGTTCAAGAAACATTTCTCTCAACTATCAATGGTGAAAACAGTTATGCTGCTTAATATTGTTACAATTTTGGAATAGAAGGATAAGGAATAGAAACAGCATTTGAAATGATATCTTTTGTAACATTATACATTTCTTTACTGTGACTTTTTCAATTTAAAGCATCTTTGTTGAATTTAAGTATTAATTTCTTTCAAAAAATAAATAAATAAAATGCACGGACCCGAAAATTTTGGAAGGTAGAAACAATTACTTGTATCTACCTCAATTCATTGAAAAATCATGATCAAATTCATTTTGATTAATTC